GGTACGGGGTCGGGTGCTGTGCCTCTTCGACGTGGACGGGACCCTGACGCCGGCCCGGCAGGTAGCAAGGCACTGGGGCATTGAGTTTTGGGGAGGGGACACGGACACACGCACGACACCGAGGTCAGCATGGTGGAGCTTGTCCCGCTGGCTGCGGCCTCACCCCCTGCTTCCCCTCCAGAAAATCGAGCCGGAGGTGGACGCGTTCCTGCGGGAGCTGCGGGAGAGGGTGCACATCGGCGTGGTGGGAGGCTCCGACTACGCCAAGATAGCCGAGCAGCTGGGGGACGGGGACGAAGGTGAGATGCGGCCGGCGAGGTCCCCCGGGGGTCACCTGTGTCCTAAATCTGACCCCAACGAGGTCCGAGGTCCCCCGGGGGTCACCTGTGTCCTAAATCTGACCCCCCCTTGGGGCGGCTGGCCGTGGCCAGGCGGCAGTCGCCGATCGGCTCCTTCTCCTCTGCTGGGGTCCCAGGCGGGAGCCGCCGCTCGGCTCCTTCTCCCTCTGCGGGGAGCAGGCAGGGATGCTCCAACCCACGCTGCCGGCTCCGGCGTCCGGTTTGTACGAGCTTCATCTGGGCTCTGACAGCTTCCCCCCCGCCCCCCCGCAGCGGGCAGGCGCCCCTTGCAAATTTTGCCTCCCTGCTGCTCCATGGTGGGTCTCCGGGGGGTTCTTCATCGTGTTCAAACAGGGACATGGGGTAGAGGAGGGAGTGGGAGGGCGAGGGGGCAGCCCCCCGCTCCCTCCACCCTCCACCTTCTTTTCCTTCTCTGGCATGGATGCCAAGCGCGGCTGGGCTCCGAGCTCTGCCTCCTGCCTCGTTAGCGGAGGGAGGCTGAGAAATTCCCGGCTGATTGCTGAGTCGGCAGTGCTGCGTGTCCTGCTTGCAGGAGGGGCTGGAGTTAGATAACCAGTAACTGCATCATCCCAGCACCCTGGCAGTGGGAAGGAGAGAGAGCAGAGTAACACGCATCTGGTTGAAAGCCTGACATTTTTGAGCCCTTATCTTCGTCCTGCCACTGATTCAGCCCGTGACCTCGGTCAGGTCGTTTCCCCCTGCGTGCGTCAGCTGTGAGCAGAAGATAATCTCCTCGCCCACTTTGCGGAGAGCCAGGAGGGTCAGGGGCCCTTTGCGGAGCACGGGAGATGTGGAAAGCGTGGTACTAAGGAACCGGGAGGATGGCTCACTCGGTCCTGAGCCCAGTCCTTTTGGCCCCTTTTCCCAGGCAGTACTCATGTTTCCTCTTTTGTTTCCTCCCCCCTCAGTCATCGATAAGTTTGACTACGTCTTCGCAGAGAACGGCACAGTGCAATACAAGAATGGGCAGCTGGTCTCCAAGCAGGTACGTCCAGCTGCCCTTGCAGCCCTGGCTCTCCCTCCCTGTGCCCCGCGCACCGTGGGGAGCAGCGCCTGGCCCCAGGGCAGATGGGCAGCCTCTTCTGTCCTCCCCAAATGCCAGACCTGAATGTCCCACTCCTCCAGGTCGTGTTCTTGGGTGGGCTTCACGGAGGGTCAAGCATCTTCCTCACTCCCCCTTCTTCTCCCGCAGGCCATTCAGGACCACTTGGGGGAAGAGCTGCTGCAGGATCTAATCAACTTCTGTCTCAACTACATGGCGCTGCTGAAGCTGCCCAAGAAACGGTAACGGCCCAAGCCCATGCAAATGGCTGTCATATCACTGATTTCTAGGGAGCTCTGGGCTCCAGAGCTCTCCTAAGAACAGCTGAGCTACTGAGCTTGTCCCGCTCCAGGCTTTATCTTAGCACCTAGAGGCCCTGTGTAGGATCACTGTCCCACCGAGCTGGGCACTGTGGGGAAATAATGGAGGAGGGTCTTTGTTCTGGAGAGTCTGCACTATTTTTCAGCATAATGCCTGCTCTTTTGCCCCTTGGATTTTCTTCCCTGGGAAGCAGGGTACAGCCAGTGCGTGCATCTCATTTAGGACAATGGTACCAGCTCGTTACTGGTCAGGGCATCAGGCATCATTGGTCGTATGAGTTTCCAAGGAGATGAACAATGGATCTTAAGATGGGACGTCCAGTGCCTGAGCACACAGTTTCACACTGTTTCTAGCCTAGTGTCGCTTGGCGCCACTGGCAATAGGGCTGGCCCTGCTCTGCCCCTGACCGTGTGTTCCTGTCTGCTTCCCCTGTGAGATCCAGCAGCCACAGGGTGAGTTGGGTTGGTACACCTCCTCTGAAGGATGACTAGGCCACTGCCAGGAAAGAAAAGGGTAGTTTTCCATTGGGTCGGCACACCCTGTTATCACAGAAAGGAGAGAGAGGGAACAGATGGCATGAAGGTGGAAGGGGAGAGCAGGAGGACCTCTTTCAGAGGCAGCCTGCAGTTAAACCAGTCTGGGTGCAGTGTCAAACCACCCCTCAGACTATGGTTTCGCAAACGCTTGAAGCCGGTGTGAGCTAGCAGGGCTGTTGAAAACAGCGGCTCTGCCCTCCCCTCAGCCCGGCTGGTTTGTTCCTGCTCTCCCCTTGTGTTTGTACGGTGAACCCGAGTTGGCAAGCTGTCTGGTCGAAATTAAGCTGGTAAAGTTGCTAATCTGTGATCCAGATTAGTTGCCTGGTGTGAGTCACCATGTGGCAATACAAGGACCGGTGAGAGGGTGGCTCCTTGTGACAGGACTGCTGGCTGAACATGCCCCCGAAAGCGTGGGCTGGGACCCAGAACCCTCAAGGCTGTTTGGTTGCCTCATTGCTGTCTGGTTGCCCAACAGCCCGGCAAAATTTCAGCTCCCAAGTGCCTCTGTGGATTTAGGCTTATGGAATTTCTAGCAAAGCAAGGACTTTAACCCACATCTCCCGAGCCTTAGCCTGGGGCTTGAGCCACCAAACCCTTGGTGCTGCAGAGATGCTGCTCCCAGGCTGCAGGCATGGCTGCCCATGTGTCCATTCCCCCTGATGTTCTTCACTGTGTTACGAGACAGGAGGTGGAGAGTTTTTCCCCCAGACTCAGAGTGGTAAGCACTTTATCACAGAGAAACAGCGGGCAGGGCTGGGAGGGACATTGGAGGGAATGAGCTCAGGGCTCCTCAGATGGACAGGGAAGGGGATCTCCCTGCTCCAGCTAGGTTTCCACAAGAGTTTCAGTCTATTTTCAAATTGGTAGTGCTGCCATCCCCTGTTGTTTCTGTCCCACCAGTGCTGGTACCTGTCTGACCCCTCGGTGAGCTATTCCAAGGTGATGAGCAAACAGAACTGGCTGAGTTTATGGCAAAGAGAAAAGAAGGGAACAGTTTTCTGCTGGCTTAGTGCTTTGAACCAGCCTACCGAGGAAGCAGCAGAGTAGTGATCCCAGTGCAAGGTGAGGGTGACAAGCAGGAACTGGGTCCTCTCCGTGCAAGTGTAGATAAGAGTTGCAGTCAAAGGTGCAGGGGACAAATGGGAGATATAAAGGCCCTGCGGGTCCTTCCTGATTTGTGTCCCTTGAGGAGGTCCTGATTGCTCATCAGCCTGCCGCTGGACATCAGCAGCGGGTTACGCTGACCTGTTCCATCCCACTGCCCCAAGGTACTGCCAGCTTCACCCAACCCACCCAATGTTTCTTAAAAGTCTCCAGGGGTGGAGATGCCACAGTCTCATCAGACAGTTGGTCCAGTCCAGGCAATAGCTGTCCTTGCAGTTATTACAACATTAGAAAATGTCTCCTATCATCTCACCTAAGCTCGTCGCTTCCAGCCTGTCCCCAGGGCACACAGGAACTGCTTATTCCTCTTCTCTTAGTGTCTCTTTTTGTAAAACTATGAGCCCCTTGGAGACCTTAAGCAGAGTTGTTGGTGCCTGGTCTCTGCCTGGTGTGAAGCACCCATGAGTGGGCATGGCTTCTCTCCTTCTGTGTGTCCCTGCAGAGACTGCATGCCTCACCAAGCAGCCATTCCCCTGGAAAGGTCTGTTTTTCTCTCCCTGCCCCAGTAACCTTGTGCCCTTGTCCACCCACAGAGGAACCTTCATTGAGTTTCGCAACGGGATGCTGAACATCTCCCCCATCGGACGGAGCTGCACACCAGAGGAGCGAATCGAGTTCTCCGAGCTGGACAAGGTAGATGAGCCAGACTTGGGCTCGCCCTTTCCTTTGCTGGTTTTGCACCACCGCAGATCTCGGGTCTTACCTGCTTCCCCCCACCCCGAGGAGAAAGGAGCCCAGCTCCAAGCTGTGCACAAGGCCAACACATGCAGTGAGGTGGAGACAGGACTGGGGGTCGGAAAACCCAAGGAGAGACACAGATGAATGGAAGAATTGTACTTCATTGGGGACCAGCAATACAATGGGGTGGCCAGCAGGATTCCTTGTGCTGTGGGAGAGCCCCAGGGAATAAGGCACTTACTTAACAGGGTGTTCCATTACAGTAACCGAAGATGGCCCAGCAGCTGGAACTAATGGGCTTTCCAGATTGGGAGGGCCATGGCAGATCTTCTGGGCAGACCTCTGGAGCGCGTGGCCCATGCTCACAGCATTTTCTGCCAGGGGGAGTTTTCTTGGGGTTGAGGGATCAGTTGGACTTTGCAAGACTTTTTAAGCAAAGCTGGAGACTTTGGGCTGCTGGGAAACTGAAGCAGTTGCATTTCATTGCCAAGGAAGGGCTGGGATCTGCTCTTCCCAGGAGCCTGCTGGAGCTGCCCTGAGCTGGTGGCCTTTTACGCGGACACTGAGCAGGACTGGTGAAAGCTGGCTAAATGGCATTACACTGCGGCTCGGGGCAGGTGGGAAGGGAGCGGAGCAATAAGCCAGAGTTGCCCAGCAGACAGCTTACAGTGGATTCCGGTAGACTGCCAACATCTAACTGTTCAAACCCTCTTTCCTTCCCTTTCGTCCTTCTCCTCCGCAGAAAGAGCGGATCCGGGAGAAGTTTGTGGCAGCCTTGCAGAGGGAGTTTGCTGGCAAAGGCCTGCGTTTCTCTCGAGGTGAGCGGAGGGGGCTTCCCTGGCTTTGCCTTGGCCTCTTTATCGTGTTTCCCATAAAACACTGGGAAGGGGAGCGGGAATTCCAGCTGTTCCCTCTGGGGGCCTGGAGACCCCAGGAAGAGCACAAGAAGCTTCTAGTCCTGGAGAGCCCCCACAGGGGCGTCACGTTCACATCCGTGGCAGGGTGACAGCAGAGAATAAACCGTACTGCAGATTTGCCTCCCTGGGAATCAGCCAGACAGGTGGATTTCTGTCCCGTGACGTTATCCCTGCCTTAATTTCAGTTAGCTCTGCGGAGCCCACTCCTGCCCAGAAGGTCTGTTCTGGCTCAAGCATCAGCAGCACGGTGGCCAGCAGAGCTCCAGGCACATGCACTCCTCTCTAGGAATGAGACAGGAGCCCCATGCGTGTCTCGGCTCTGGGGTTTTCTTGGGAGGGCTGGCTACAAGGGAAACGTCTTTCTTCCTGGAGGAAGAGCTGCCGAGAGGCAAGGAGTTTGCAGCTCCATGCCATGGGCTTTTGCAGGGCCACTTCTTGGGGTGACTCTTATAGCCAGCTTACCAAAGACGAGGAACCAAAGGAGGGGCTTGAGCAATCCTGGGGGTCTGGCCAGGACAGGGAGAAAAATGAGGGTGTGTAAGTGGTGGGGCTGACGCTGGAAGAAGACCCTCCGCAGAGCAGATGGGTATGTGTGAGATAAGAAGGTGCTGTGTGGCAGCCTAGCCAAAGGGCAAGGGGGTGAGGAGGCTGGGAGGCAGCAGGTGGCACCCCACTCTTGCACCCAGCATGGTGGGTGCAAGTACAAAGGGTCTGGCCCTCTGGTTCTCCAAGGGCTTTCCTCCTGAGAGCCTCCCCTTGCCTTCAGCGTTCTGCCAGGGGCATCCTGTGCTGCCCACAGCACTGACACACACCATTTGTCACAGCAGAGAAAGGCAAGGTCCCCACCACCGTGTCCCCGCCGGCACAGGGGATGAGAGCAGAGCAATGGGCCTTTCTCCTCTGACTTTGGGAAGCCACCATGAAGAGCCCGTTGTGTAAAAGCATAAAGACAAGGGGAGCTGCGGGCCCCTCGCTCCTCCACAAAGAAAACATGGGGTGTCTTATGTCAGGCATCCAAAAACAGGGACACAGAAATGGGGCTCTTGCCATGTGAAAAACAGGGACACAGAAATGGGGCTCTTGCGCCAAGCTGCCTCCATGTGCCTTGTCCCAGGCTGTGGAGGACGCAAGCCCCAGAGGTGGTAGGAGGTCTCCCTGCAGCCCCCCAGACCCATGCTCTGCCCAGGTGAGGGACAGTGCTGGCTGTCCTCCACACCACCTCTTCTCCCTTTGATTTCCTACCCTCTCCAGCTGGCTTCAGGAGCCCCTTCTTGCTGCCCAGCGCTGTTTAAAAGGCCAGAACGCAGCGAAATGCAGCGTTTTTCACAGGTAAATGGCTTTAGATACAAAACCAGGAAGGATTTTAATGAAGGCAACCAAGTTTAGCTCCTGCTCTGATGCTGGCTCCTGCTGCAAGCCTGGGGGCATCCCCGTCCCTGAGCTCATAGGACACTTGTTCCTGTCCGTATCCCATTGCCCTGCCCGGGGCATCCTGTCTGGTAGTGAATCCTCTGCCCTGAGCTGGACACGCAGGCTCCATCCCTGGCTCCTCAGGCTCTGAGGAGGCTTGGTTTGGGGATCCCAAACAGGGACACCTCAACCAGCCAGGGAAGAGAGGAGCATGGCATCAGGACGTACGTGTTTGAACAGCCTGGGGGATCGGTGCCCCTCCTGCAGCAGGGACCATCCCCTGAGGGTACCTGTCTACTCACCCCCTTCCTAAGAGAGGTGGGGTTATGATTTATGAAGAAGGAGAGTATGAAACTCCAGGATTGCTGGTGGCCCAGTAGATTGCCTGGAGAAGCAGGGGGGCCCCCTTGAAATCAAGGGGAGCAGAGACATGATCTGGCAGGGAGAGGCACGTCCCAGCTCAAATCCCTGTTCCTCCGGGCTCCGAGCGAGACCCAAACACAGGCGTGCCCTAAGTTGCTGGCTTTGTTTTGGGAGGAGCGTGTCACCTGTGTCAGTGATGGGACAAGGGACTGGCTCTGCAGCCTGTGCACGCAGCAGGGCAGCTCGAAAGGACGGGGAAGGTGCTGCCTCCGTACACCCCCAAAAGGCAGCGCAGTGCTGGGGTAAACTCTACCTGGTCTAAGAGCAAGGGCTAGGAAGTTCGTTAACCCTTGGTGGCTGTGGGTGTCCATGTGCACGCGTATGCATGCTCCCTGGTAAAGCTCCCTTACCTCTGTACGTTTGCCCCATCTGCCTTGGTGCCCCTCCAGATGTTGGCAACCCGCACTCGACTCGTGGTGAGAGGTGACAGGCCAGGGTCATGCCCCCATTATGTCAACAGGTTCGTGGTACTTCCGTGGCAAGGTCCTTGGTCCTTGATCAGCGCGCAGAGCCTGCTTGGGGCCTGCAGCGCAGCCAGCTGGGACCCCTGAGCTGTGTGGTGCATGGGGTTTGCTTTGTGCGTGCAGGGTGCTGGGAGCCCCCAGTCCCTGTAGGGTTAAGGAGCGTCGGAGCAGTGGTTGTAGAAGGGCCAGTGATGTCCACGCAGGAGCCTAGGAGAGAGAGTGGTGGCAGTTTCTGAGGGTATTGTCTCCCGTTGGGACACAACATGCTGATGCTATCTGCAAGGTGTGACCCCAAATCTCCCCCAACAGATGCATCTCTTGGGACCTCCCACCCCAGCATCCCTCCCTGCAGCCCACTGTTTCTTGCTTGCCTGCCTGCCTGCAGTCAGGGGAGCTGTGCTAATGTCACCCCAGCCGTGCTGATGTCACTCCAGCCTGTTGTCACAGGAATGGCATCTGCCACTGTCCTAGCCACATGCCGGAGAGGCACACCAAGGCAGAGCCGGTGCCTGGCTGCTCCACACACACGTCCAGCCCTCTCCCCTCCTCCTGCCTGTCCAGTGCCGGGGGGGACACCCTGCCGGCTCCCACCAGCATTGCCTGATGCCCTTCCTTCTGCTGACAGGTGGCATGATCAGCTTTGACGTCTTCCCAGAGGGCTGGGACAAGCGCTACTGCCTCAACGTGCTAGACGACGAGAGATTTGACACCATCCACTTCTTTGGGAATGAGACGACCCCTGTGAGTATGCCCCACACATGGCTGCTTTCCCTCCTTTGGCCTGGCAAGCCTGTGTGGAGCTGCTCCATCACGGGTCCCACAGCCTGGGTCCTGCCGGCAGCCGACACAGACCTCTAGCAACGTGAGGGGGAGAGATGCTCTTGTGCGGCACGTGTTTGCGGCAGGCTCGTGATGGCGGCAGGCCCGCTGGGTCATGGGGAAATGGCCCTGGATTCACTGTGCTGGGGAGCAGGTCCACCTCAGCATTGCTTTCCTCCCCCCAGCACCCTCAAGACGGGGCAGCCACTCCTGCAGTCCGCAGGACCCAAAACATGAGCGCCCAGCATTTAGGAGAGGGCTTTTCAACAGCAGGAACAGTTTCGCCTTCCCTTTAGAGTGGTGGAGGATGATGCTTCCTTGCTGCTGTAGACCAGCTTGGCCATCCACTAGGCTCTTTCCAGATGATGGCAACCTCTGCCCCCCAAAATGTGCTGCCTTCTGCTAGCTCCTCCACAGATAGGGCAGGGGTTAACCCCAGGCTCCTGGACAAGCTTTGCTGGTCTAGGACCTTCCCCATCCTTTCTTCACTCCTCCCCTGGCACTGAAGAGGGGAGGCAAGAAGGAGGGAGCAGGGCTCCCAGCCCAGCCTCTTCTGCCTCCCTGGGCCAGCAAAGCCCTGGCAGCCCCTTCCCAGCAGGTCCCTGCCTGCTCAGCCGCTGGCTCCCACCCCAGCTTCTCACAGGACAGAGCAAGATGCAGATTCAGGGATGAGGTTGCTCTGTTGAGACCCTAGTAACATTTTCCCTATTTTCTATTCCCCCGCAGGGAGGGAATGATTATGAAATCTATGACGATCCCCGCACAGTGGGACACAGCGTCCAGTCCCCCCAGGACACAGTCCAGCGATGCCGCGAAATCTTCTTTCCAGAGAGAGCAAACGAGTGCTGACTGCCGGGTCCCCGCAGCCCTGCCCCGGCCCCACCCTCTCCCCCTGCCAGGAAAAGCACCTTCATTTGAGGAATCTGCTCAGGGTAGACCGAAAAAAACTACTTTCCAGAGCTGGTCAGGATGTAACACGTGAGTGCGGGTGTGTGTGCAGGAGGGGGCCTTCGCTGAGCAGCCCTTCAGCACTCGCCTTTGATGGCTGGGGCTCGTGGGACCAGACCCTCCTCACCTCCGGCAAAACTCCTCTCTTGACAGTTTGGGCCGTGGTGGGCGGCGATGCCGGTGCTTTCATGGTCGGAAAGCATTTGAAAGAGCCAGTCACGAGAGCGTGTGTGTGTCCATCCCATGCTCCCTCCCCTCTTCTCTGCTTTTTCGCTCTGTTTCTCTTAACACTTCTGCATGAGGGAACACGCGTCTCACCTTTCTCTCGCCCTTGCGCCTTGGCTGGGGAGGATGGGGCTGCTGAGGCCCCAGGCACTCTCACCAGAGCTGCTCTGAAGTGAGAGGCCAGGAAGGCTGTTTGCTCCAAACCCGTGGTAGGAAGGGGTAGCTGCGACCCCTGCTCGTTGCAGCATTGTGCATCCTAATGGAGAGGATCACCATGTCCTTCACCTCGGTGCCACACCGTGCCGGTCCCTACAGGTGACCTGGAAATGACAGTTTTAAAATGACTCTGCTCCTGCTCTGAGCTTTGCTCAGGTGCATGAAGAAACTAATTCTCTCTTTAGCTTACAAAACAAAAAAAGGCTGCTGTGGGTTTATTTTCCATGTTCTGCAGAAGTTGTCTAGTCAGACCTTGCCTGGCATAGCTGGAGGACACCGGGTGCCCTGCGTGTGCAAAGCACCCTGCGGAGCTGTTGGGGGCAGAAGGCTTCCCAACAGTCTTCCCACCCGCGTGTCCATTAGGCATCACAGATGTGTCAGTGCAAAACCTTACCCCGGGGCATTCATAACAGACCGAGACTCCTTCCTTCCCAGTGCTCAGCTTTCCATCATGCTACCAGAGACTTTTCAGAGAGGGCCAACACAGGCCAGACCTGGTTTCTAGTACCAACAAAGGTACACACTCAACAGTGCCCTCCAAGCTTGCTTTTCCACCCCATCTTGTCCCACATGCTTGGTTTACGTGGTCACCTTTAGGGACGCAAGTTCTCCAGTGCAGCTGTCACGTGTCCTCCTGTTCCTCTCTTCTCCTGGGTCTTCGTGGGTTGCAAAACCACATCTCTCCTTTGGTCCTTGACCTCCTCCCTCACGTTGCCCATTTATTCCTGGCTGTTATGCCGGGGTGTGTGACCGCACCAGTGATGTTAGTCACAACTCGGTGCTCAAGAGGAGCTCAGGGATCACCTCCAGGGAGATGTCCTGCTTATAGCTCCACAGGACACACGTGTCTAGTGTTTGTGGACCTGGAGGGTGCTGGTTGTTCCTGCAAAAGCTCCCCACATTGCTCCCTCGGAGCCTTTCTCAGCACATCCCTGCTGGTATGGCACTGCCCCATCTCTTGGTCTTGTTTTCTCCCCTCTTTTTCTCCTACTCCTGCTTTCCTCGCTGTTGCTGTTCATCATCTAGCAGCTGGACTGCAGAGAGAAGTTTCTCAGCTGGCTACTGCCACTTAACCAAGGGGCCAAGTTCCTCAGGCGAGATACGTTGGTGCTTTTAGACCCACATTGCTCCCACATTGCCACGGGCAGAATCTGAGTGGACCTTGGCACTGCTGCCTGGCCGCAGGCGCAGGAGCAGGGGTGCTGCGTGACCAGTGCTGGCGGGGTGCTCTCTCCTCCACCTGACTGCACCTCTTAAGTCTACAACACATCAGGTCCGTAATGCATCACATTTGCATGAGCGCAGCGGTCTGCCCAGCATCTGGAAATCCCCAACAAATGCACAAATTCCTCTTTCTACCCAGAGAAAATGTCTGCGTGGGAGAAGAGGACCTGTTGGGGAAGCCTGGATGCAGGGTGCCCTTTTCACAGGCCACTGGTTTTGGCCCTCCACTGCAACCTTCATTGAGGAATCGTGTGTTTTGTGGATCCTCCTTCTCTGTTTCACTGTGGATCAGGTTATGTGTGGGTTTTGGGGATTTATTTTTCCTGTAAGTCTATTCAAAGTCAGCAGGATCTCTAGAGAGCTTGGTGGTGGGTGAAGAGCAGGGCCTGGCCCCGAAGGCATGAGGCACTGTGGTGGCCTTGGGGGCTGAGATGCCTTGCATATTTGAAGGGAAGGGCAGGCTCTGTCCAAGGCTACTACTCCTGATGGCAGGCAGCACGTCCCTTGCTCAGGGTGGGGGAGTTGCAGGGCAGAGGCAGGGATGACCTCCGAGGCACCAGCCATCGCTGTCTCTCCTCAGGAGCTCATGTGTGCATGGGTGAGATCAAGTTCAGGAACGTTCCCCATTCCTGTCTCTGTCTTACACCAAGCTTGGGCTAGTTGAGGGCACCTCCCGCCAGGAGACCCTGTCCTGCTGGAAGGATGATAGGGAGGATGGCATCAGAAGTAGCTGGGGCAGCCCCAGCGTCTCAGAGTCACAGAACAGCTGAGGTTGAAGGGACCTCTGGAGGTCATCTGGTCCCACCCCCCTGCTCAAGCAGGGCCATCGAGAGCCCTGGCTGCCTGCCCTGTGTTTTTGTGGGCAGGGATGAGGCACAGCGCTGGGGTGGGAGCCCTACACCTAGGGGACGGTGCACGCCTGTCCCCGAGACCCCTTTGCCATGATGCTCCTCTCCCGGTGGGTGCCCACAGTGTGAGTGGGGGTTTCTCCCCGCGTGTGCGTGAGCCAGCGGATGTGGCGGGCCCCGCGTTGGGGACCGTTGTGCCATATGGCTCCATGTCTGTGCGAGACGGGTGGCTCCTGTCTGGCTGATACCAACTGTTAAATAAGAAATATATTTAAATATATATATAGGTATATTAAAAAAAACCAATCATATTAAAGCTACAACAGCAGCTGTTGGAGACAGCGTGTGCTTTGTGCCAGGCTCTGCTGGGGTGAAACGCAGCCAGATGGCAGGCAGCCGCACTTCGAAATGCCTGCAGCAGCGGGGGACCAGCCCCGGTCCTGGTCACTGGACCAGGGTGGGCAGCAGCCTCCCGTCCCAGGCTGAGAGTCTGCTCCCCCCGAGCAAGGCTGGAGCACCCCAGGACCCGCTGGGACATGCTGTGTGGAGGTGGGTGAGTCCGTCCTGCCGTCTGGATAAATCCCTGGGTGCTCCAAGTCCTTACCTGGGAGAGCCACCAGTGTCCCCCCTCCGACACACGCACACAGGACAAAGAGCCAGGATGGGCAGGGCTCATGGGAAAGTCACTTTTAATGGTTTATTGCCAATGTTACAAAGGTCGACACACAGTCAGACAGGCAGGAACCACACTGGAGTTGTAAAAACACCAACAAGTCTAGGGTTTTAGTTTATTCCCAAAAAAAAGAGAGAGAAAAAAAAAAAAAAATCAAAGTTTGCCTTGGCCAAGCTGACTGCGTGTCCCGGGGACGCCTGGGGCCTGAGCTGGCATGGCCACAGCCCCTGGGTGAGCCGGGCTTTGGGTTGGCAGTGAGGTGGGCTGTGGGGTCCTGGGGCAGTCCCTATGCCAGCCCGGGCTGGGGCAGCGCGTGGTGGTCCTCCCGAATCCACAGAGCCCCAGCTGTCCCACATGGCACCAGCCTTGCCCCCCTCCTCTCCTTGCTTACGGCAGACCCCTGTCCCCACCACAACAGCGGCGGCAAGAAAGGTGGAAAACGCCCCTTTCCATCAGTGCTGAGGGCCGTCAGCTCCCACTGAGTGGGTGCCTGGGGAGCTGGTTGTCATCACCAACCCTACTTGGGGGGCCTGCTTGCCCTGCTTCGAAATAAACCCCTTAAGATGCTGATAACCTCCAGAGTGTCGGTGCAGGCACCGTTTCCCTGGGGTCAGTACAGGCCCAGCTGGGTGCATACCACCCCCGTCCTGCCGCCCTCTGCCCTGTCCCTCCCCGAGGCCACAGGAGCCTGCCTGGCCAGGATATGGTGGAGAAGACCAAAAATGAAGTTTGTGCTTTGTATACGAGACCCTGCCTACACCGAGGGGCTGGGGAAGAAGTGGCTGCACTCACCCCATGGCCGAGGCTACTCAAACTCCTCAGCCCCTTGCCCCCCCGGCAAGCTACAGACGTGCACACACACGCGCACACACACACACACACACAAGCGTGCGTGGGAAGGGGGGTCCCCAGGGGGCTGGGAGGACAAGGGAGGAGGAGGAGAAGGCGGCCATCTCCCCAAAACTATGTCAGCACCGAGCCAAGAAAAGTGCGTTACCAGCCCAGTGGCGGGGGGGGGGGAGAGGTGCCAAGTGTGCCCCTGCCCCACGCCCAGGCGCAGCCCCCTGGGCACAACGCTGAGCACCCCCGGCGCCCTGCCAGCAGCCGTTTGTCCCTTAAAACTAAATTTTTTCTTTCTGTAAGCCACTCGCCTCCCCGTGGCACTGCTGACCTGAGATCTTTTGATGGAGGGACGTGGCTCAGGAGGGTGCCATGAGCTGCCAGTGATGGGGATGGGTCTCAGCCACCCAGTCCCCGCACAGTGATACACCGCCCCACGCTGCCCTGTTTCCCTCCAGCCCCACGGCATGCCCTGCTGCTGTCGTGCTGCAGGCAGTGGGACCAAGCGGGGTGGCTGTCTTGCTGGGGCAGGGTTCAGGAGAATGAGCCGAGCCTCCCCAGCCGAGCCCCGGCCCCCTCCTGCTCTCAGCACCTGCTTCAGCCGGGGGGCCGGGGGGTAGGACTGGTTCCCCTGCTCCCCATGGCCTCAGGGGCAAGGAAGAGGACATGGGGCTGAGCACTGCCCCTGGAGCTGGGGGGCAGCAGGGGAGGGCTCTGCTTCCCCTGTCCCCCTCAACAGACACTTACAAACACACACAGAGAAAGGAAACCGTAACCTTATAAAAGACACCGAACGCAAACGCCTGCGTGTTTGGCCGCCTTCCGCCTTGGCTCCCCCCGCGGCTAGCGGCTGGGCAGGCTTGCTCTGTGGGGCCGAGCAGCCGGCGGCCCCCCCGGGCGCCTAGGAGCCGATGATCTGGCCAGACCATGTCTCGTGCTTCGTGTGGGGCGCCAGGTTGGTGAGGACCACCTCTACCGCCTGGAACTTCTGGTTCTTGGGAGGGATGGGGCAGACCTTGTACGTCACCTCGTCCCCCTCCACTGGGACGTACTCCCCCTCGATGCTGCGGGAGAGGAGAGGGAAAGGTGGTGGGGCTGGGGCCAAGAGCCAGACCCCCACCCCGGACCATCCAGCACCAAGGAAAGCACCCGACCCACCAGCTGCGCCTTGGGAAAGAAAACCCACCAGCAATGGGGGGTAGAGGACAGGCAGAGCCCCATCCCCACCCCCTGGAGACATCCCCACCCTAGCCCACAGGTCTCCAGCCCCATGCTGATGGCACGGCTCCCCCAGGATGTCCCAGCACCACACGACCCCCGGACTTACTCAGACACATGGACGAAAATGTCCTCTGTGCCGTTCTCGGGGGTGATGAACCCATGGCCCTGGGAGCGAGAGAACTGCTTGCAGACGCCCTTGAAGATGGGGCCAGCAGAGGCACGCGCCGTCCTGTGGGAGGAAAGGGACGGAGATGTCTCACCAGCAGCACTCGCCCGGGGGGGGCAGCACGGGAGAAGGTCTGCTATGAAAACATGGCATTCCCTGGGAGAGCACATGGCACCCACCCACAGCACCCCAGGCAGGTGGGTGCGGTGATGCCGGGCGCCACAATGGTGACGTGCACCAGGCGTAAAAGGGTTCTGCAGGCACTGCTGGTGATCGCAGTCTCTGCTCGGCTCAGCCGGACAGTCCCAAGCCCACTCACCGCATGCCGGGTACTTACGCCGAGTAGGTCCTGGTCCTCTTGGTGGGGAGGGGGCTGGGCAGGTCCCGCAGCAGGAGGTTGCCCCGCTCCCAGATGCGGCTGCCCTCCCGCTGGAAGGGGAAGGTGGGCCACACCGGCGACTTGGGGGAGTGCAGGGGCGGCACTGCTGGCGGGGCGCTGGGGTCTGATGACATGGTGGGGCCGGCGGGCTCCTCCGTTTTGGGAACGGGCAGGTGGGCAGCAGGAGAAAGGGCGCCCGGGCGCGCAGGTCTGCTGCCTGTGACCTGGGGAGCAAAGGGGGGGGCGGTTACAGAGCCCCCGGG